CATGTACGGCACGCTCGAGCCCGAGATTGGATCGACGTACAGAGACAAGTTCCGGACTCTGTCGTTCAATCTGCGCGATGCCAAGAACGAAACGCTGCGAATTCGCGTCATGGCCGGCAAAGTGACGCCCAGAACGCTCGTTGCCATGTCCAGCGAGGAGATGATGAACCCGGAGCTGCAGAAGCTCGCCGAGGAAGTCCGAGCCGAAGCCATCAGAGATACCGTGCTTGTTGTGGACGAAGCTCCGCGTCTCAGAAGAACTCATAAGGGCGAGGAGATTGTCGGGGAGTACGAGGAGTACATCGACAACGTGGATCTCGCGCTCAAGATGGAGAAGGAGCGAGACGGCAACGGAGACGAGGCTGCAGAGTCGAAAAAGCAGCTCAACCGGGCCGTTCGAGACATTGACGAAGGGAAAGAGGAGACCAAGCCCGATTCACCCAAACAGGCTTCTCACTCGCCCATCGTGCCCAAATGGAAGCAGGACATTGATTTGGGCCAGGGAGAGTCTGACCACGAGCACCACGATCACAACTCGGACCACGAGGACAAGGTGAACGATATTCTGGGAGACGTGACTCGAGAGGCCCGAGAAGCCGAGACAGACGACTGGACGACCATTTCCGAGGCCCCCTTTGTCTGGACAGGAGCTGTGCCTATGACTGGACTGGAAAAGACTTCTTGTGCTGCCTTTTCTCTGGGTTCTTCGTCTAACCACTTCGACCCCAACGTCTCCTGGGGCTCGATTTTCTACGCCAGCAAGCCTCTCACTGTCGAGGGCCGTCTGGACAAGTCCAAGGCAGATCCCTATCTCACCAAAGTGCTTGGGTCCGGCACACGAGACGTTGCAGCCTTCTGTCTGCTGCCATCTGACTCCTCGGAGTCCGACCGCGAGGCGTATTATAAGTTGTATGAGTATTTCCACTCTCGATCCAAGTATGGCGTGATCCACAACCGGTCGTCGTTAGTGAAAGACGCGTATCTGATTCCTCTGGCGCCCGAAGACACTCCTCCTTACATTCTGGGCTCTCTGGTGCATCCCAGCGTCGAGCTGAGCAGCCTGAAACGATCCAGACCGCTGCTGGTGGTGCTGTACGTTGTTGGCAAGCTTGCTCAGAAGCGAGGAGCAGCTCCTGAGACTCGAGTGGCCCAGCAGCCTGCCCAGAAACGAAGATTGATGCGAGATCGAGTGAGAGCAGACCGGCCTGCGGAACGACGACCGCCCAGAAGCGTGCCTGTGACCTCTGCCACGCCTCCCACTCCCGCAGCTCCTACTCTAGTAGCCCCAGTGACTGCTCCTGTTGGACCTGCTCCTGTTCTTCCTCCAGCCTCGTTTCCTGTAGGTGTGGCTCATGAAGCACCTGTGCCAGTTCCTGGAGTTGCTGGAGTTCCTGGAATGGTTCCTCTGGCTCCTGCTCCTGGTTCAGCTCCTGGAGTTGGAGCTCCTGCCGATCTCGAGGCGCTCAAGTCTCTCCTCAACGACCCCAGTCTCCAAGGGGCCTCAGTTCCTGCCCAGAGCGACCTGCTGCAGAATCCCGCGCTGCTGATGTCTATCATCGACCAGGCCAAGAAGCGGTAGTGCCCTCGGGCTTTATTTATTCGTGATGGAATGTATAGTATAATGAACGAGTCTAGCGATGTGTGTATTAGAGCACTGTGTAACATACGTAGATTGGCTGAAGTACCGCAGGTACTTATGCCATAAACTGGGTACTTTATGCCATAAACTGGGTACTTTATGCCATAAACTGGGTGCTTTGTGCCATAGCGAGGTGTAATATAGCAAATGCCATAAACTGGGTACTTCATGCCATAAACTGGGTGCTTTGTGCCATAGCGAGGTGTAATATAGCAATAGTCAGAAGTAAGAACAGTAATAATAGTACGAGTACACACGGCAATCAGAATATAACAGCAACTAGAAGTACTGGTAGCAACAGTAGTCGTATTTGCTCTGTACTTTACTTAAGTCTGAAATAAAGCTGCCTAAAGTTCCACCAATTACTTGGAACTCTTCTCAAACGGGCTACCAGTACTACGGTAAGGTACTAGTAGTGCAAATACCATCCCTTAGCTCCACGTCTCAGCAAGAACAGTAGATCTACAAATACATGCAAAGCCCAACAACAGATCAATGAGGGGTATCTCCGCCGTTTGTAATCAGATGACAAATGATCCGGTGATAATCGGGTCTCGTTGCTAAAGCCGACGTCCTTGCATAACAAACGTCTGTCTTTGCCACCTTGGCTTCCCCATATTTCGTTGGGGATCTACACTGCGCTAAACTCAATGCCTCTGGAAGGAGAAACATGTTGTGACGAAGTGGCGATGTGACGGCGAATATCACATGCGTAGGCGACATCTCGACGATATCTCGCGTACCTCAAAACCGTTCGATCGAAAGTTGCGGTTGGAGTCTCAGTTTCAGTCTCACTTCCTTGTTTGTCGTATCGATGAGACTAGCGCCACGGCACGAAGCCTACAGCAGAGGGTTGGGGCGCTTTTCGCGGGAAAAAAAAAGCACAGAAACGGCGACGCCGCGTCGACTGGCTGATTTCCAACTTTTGGACGCAAAAGGAGTTCCGCAACACGCTTTTCGAAGCCCTCGACGTCTGGACACTGGGAGCAAGGTTTGGAAACAAGAACATGTGAAAGTGGGAGGCTCTTTAGGGTTGCGTGTGTTAACGGCGGCGGGGAAAGAACCCGGTCTAGGGTGGTGTTCGGGATCATAGATGTGAGAAATAATTACACAGGTAGAATCGCCAAGGGCAGCGCTTCCGATCACCGTTTCAACATTCCAAATTGACCCACTACACAACCCCCCACACTCCCCAAACCCCACATATTCATATGCATGGCACGCTGCGTCCATGCGCACATATATATACAGCTGAGGGCCCCTTCCTTCCCACCACCAAACACCATGTCTACTTTCAACTGGGAAGCTATTGTGACCCCCACTCCCGTCGACGAGATCCCCGGCGACATCCAGCGTCTGCGAAAGGGCTTCCGATCCGGCAAGACCCTGGACCTCAACTACCGTCTGGACCAGATCCGAAAGCTCCACTACGTTCTGCGAGACAATGTCGAGAACATCAAGGACGCCATCTACAAGGATCTGGGCCGGCCCAAGCACGAGACGGAGCTGTGCGAGGTCGGCTTTCTGTGGGGCGAGTTCAACAACGTGGTTGCCAACCTCAAGAAGTGGGCTGCCGACGAGGACGTCAAGACCAACCTGCAGTACTCCATCTCGTCGCCCAAGATCCGCAAGCGGCCCCTCGGCAACGTGCTCATCATCTCGCCCTGGAACTACCCCTTCATGCTGACTGTCTCGCCTCTGGTTGGCGCTATCGCTGCTGGTAACACCGTGGCCCTCAAGTTCTCCGAGATGGCCCCCCACACCTCCAAGATTGTCGGCGAGCTGTGCACCAAGGCCCTGGACCCCGAGATCTTCCAGGCGATCCAGGGCGGCGTCCCCGTCGTCACCAAGACCCTGGAGCAGAAGTTCGACAAGATCATGTACACCGGCAACCACACCGTGGGCCGAATCATTGCGACCGCTGCCAACAAGCACCTGACTCCCGTTCTCCTCGAGCTCGGTGGAAAGTCGCCCGTCTTCGTCACCAAGAACTGCAAGAACGTCAAGCTGGCTGCCAAGCGAGCTCTCTGGGGCAAGGTCGTCAACGCGGGCCAGACCTGTGTCGCTCCGGACTACGTCATCGTCGAGCCCGAGGTCGAGACGGAGTTCATCGAGGCCTGCAAGTACTGGATCAACGAGTTCTACGGCGGCAAGATCGACCAGTACTCGCCGGACTTTGCCAAGATCGCGACCCCCAACCACTGGAACCGTCTGACGTCCATGCTCAACAAGTCCAAGGGCGAGATCATCACCGGCGGCAACACCGACGAGGCGACTCGCTTCATTGCCCCTACCGTCGTCGCCAAGGTCCCCGACAACGACTCGCTGATGGAGGACGAGATCTTCGGCCCTCTGCTGCCCATCCTGACCGCCCGATCCGTCGAGGAGGGTATCAAGTACGTCCACGAGAACCACGACACCCCCCTGGCGCTGTACGTGTTCACCGACAAGGCCTCCGAGGGCGAGTACATCCAGTCGCAGATCAACTCTGGAGGCCTCATCTTCAACGACACCCTCATCCACGTCGGCTGTGTCCAGGCTCCCTTTGGCGGAGTCGGCATGTCGGGCTACGGTTCCTACCACGGCGAGGACTCCTTCCTGGCCTTCACCCACCGACAGACGTACCTCAACCAGCCCAAGCTGCTGGAGCCTCTGCAGGACGTGCGGTACGCGCCGTACACCAAGACCAAGCGAAGCATGGTCAAGAACCTGCTGCTGGTCGGCCCCATCTTCCCCCGAACCGGCTCCGTCTACCCCAACGTGCTGGTGCGAATCTTCCGCAAGATCTGGTTCTGGGTGCTCATTGTCGCCATCGGAGCTGCCGGCGCCAAGGCTCTGTTCTAGACTAACCAACTACTTCATAGAATTATATATATACAATAGTGCAGCAAGTGGTTGTATTGGCTGTAGATGTGATGCGGTACTTGTAGAACAACAGAGAGAGGTCCAGTTGACTTGAATTTAGGTGTGAGCACTGTCAAGAGGTATCAGAAGGGTTCAAGCTTATGTAAATAGGGCTGCCAAATAAATGAATAGGAACTTCAAAGTAGTTGTGGGGTTGCTATTTGATGTAATATGAACCACATTGATATATTAGTGGCCTTATGAGACCCATTTCTCAAGTATCTCGGTGCTCTTGAAACTGGGGCCTTTCAGAGCTCTAAAATGAGAGAAGGAAATTGAGTCAAACGCGTCCTAAAAGTGCTTAAAATTGGGTTCAAAAGAAACAAACGGCTCATAAAGGTGTAGAAGTATCGACTAAAGTGAAGGAAATTTTTAGAAAGGGCGTATTTCGGCCAAAAAAAAATTTTGAACTGAATTTGGATATGCCACCCCAGATTTTCCTAAAATTTCGAAGTTTGGGCGTGTAGCACAGTGGTAGCGCGTGGGCTTTGCATGCTTGAGGTCACCGGTTCGAACCCGGTCTCGTCCACTTCGTTTTTTTTGCGTCCATAGTCAATAACCTTGTAGGAAGCGGTATTCTCGTCTGTGTTTTTGTTTTCGAGCATCCTTATTTAGCTGAGACTGGCTCACCCAACCTGGACCCTTAACCATCACTTTTTGCTGTGCTTCGTTTTGTCAACCAGACTCAAGTTTTGTGCACCAGTGTTACAAGAACATACCTGTTCAGCAACCCAGTCGATCACTCAACGTCGATAAATCTCTTCATCATCAACCACAATGAACACACCTCCTCTTCCCTGCAAAACGTGGACTCGAAGCCTGCGATCTCAGTGCAGAAGAATACCCGGAGTTGGAGATACCGAAAAGGCCCGTCTGTACCAGATGGTGGAGGCCGAGCGCAAGCGCCAGGAAAAGATGTTCAAGGCCCGCAGAGGCACGTTTTTCCGACGATCGATACCCAACGCAGTCTCACGTCGCACGATCCGTGAGATTGAGAAGAATACCTCCTACGATGCCCCCGAAATGGTGCCTTCGCGGCTGTGGGCCAACACTCCGAGCGAGTGGAGAGAAGAAATATCGACTTTGCGGTCGGAAATGAGCCAGGGACAACTCCCTTTGCTGAACCTGGCAATCAGAGGAGTGGGACAGACCACAGACAGAGTCCGGAGAACAGTGAGCTCAGCTGTTTCGAGCGGAAACACGGCTCTAGGAGCGGTCATGTTCATCAGCAGTTTGTTGGAGTGAACGACTGTCATGTATAATCATAGTGAACGTATCTCTTGATGTCTAACGTCAAAACTTTCAGTAGGACCTTCCTGTTTCAGTTGACTCTCCCTCAAATGGTAACTGGAGAGGAGTTTAGTTGAGGGACTCAGTTGCCAAACCAGCCCTGATTTCTATATATCCTCCATTCAGTCACCAATAGCAACACACGAATGCTCCATCATCTTCCCCCCGAAATCTTGGACCTCATTCTCGATCGCCTGAACGTGCAGTCGCTTCTGGCTATTTCTCAAACCTGCACCAACTGGCGACAAGCCCTCACAGATGATGTTTTCAAAAGGAGGCTGGAAAAGGTGTGCCCCTGGTTCATTCCCAATGTTCACTTCGCTCCATTGACTTTCACTCCCCGAGAGACTGCCAAAGAATGTGCTCTGGAGAACAGCAGACGTCAGCGTAGAGACGCCGAATTCGACTGTGAAATAAGAGAAGTTACGCGCGAGGAGTTTGGAGAAGATGCGACTGTCACTGAAACAACCCTTCACTTGGATTTTGAAAGCAAAGAACCCTTTGTCAACAGCTTTGGAATCACGTACGATCATTCAAAGCACGCTGAAACACCAGAGCCAGTTGTCCGTGGAGGAATTATACACTCTTCTGCCCACGTTCTTGTGGTATACTTTTCTAAGAGTATCCCATACTTTTCTAAGAGTATCCCAGATATGCCAGGAATGCGAGAGTACTCTGTGGTTGCCAAGTTTGCGCCGTCGAAGGGTTCGGAAGTCGACTTTATTCAGTACGTTGGATTGGACTTTCCGCCCTATTATTGTTTCTCCCTCGGAAATCACGTCTTTCTTGGTACAGACCACGGTACAAGTAGTGGATACGGGATTATGCATCTGAACACTGCCAAAACTCTCATGGAAGGACACCAGAGTCCAATCAACTTTACGGTATACGATGGGCTTGTGCCTTTCAACAGGCACGGTAGAGACTGTGCTGTCTCAGCCAGTTTGAAGACCTCAAAGCTCGAACATACATTAGAGGTGCTGCAGTCAGGGTCTCGAAGCTACGCCCACTCATGTTTACGGATACTTATTTTCCCGATAGAGATGGGTCTCACTACTGCGTTTTGAACCGACAGTATGAAGATCGGGCTCGAAGGCGTCGCTACAACTACGCTTATATCATTGACTATAGACGAGGAATGTATGTGCGTGCAGCCGGTCTGATGGTTCAGATGATGAGACATGGAGTTGAGCAATGCGACGTCATCATTTCGTTTCAACCGACGGATGAGGGGGCTACGGTTGAGTAGATAGAGATATAGCTCAAGAGAAACTGGTAGCGTAGTCTGCTCAAGCCTTTAAATGACATGTGTACGCGTCAACAAGAGTATAATTTCAGAGATGAACACACAAACACTTGCAATTAGTTCAATACGACCGTTGTAGATGAACCAAAACCGAATTAGCCATGCTATGAATCGCTCTGACTCGATTTCTTGGCAGGCACATAGCAAGTATACCTGGAGGCTCCAAAAACGTACCGTTCCGTTTTAAAAACCGACCAGAACGTTTTTCACGCGACTTCAAACTGCCCCATTGCCTCACAGACCCCAGATTCTCCTCCTAGCCGAAATCTCCACGTCTTGTGGGTCTGATCTGCATGCACGGTAATTATAACTACAATGAGATACAGTTTGCGGGGCATTTTGTGGTCGGTTGTACTCGTGCTTCAGACAAGGTGTAGATTCAAAAATTTAGCTGGTGGGTAAAATAACCGCCAGAAGCTGTCCTATGTCTTTGAAATTCCAAAATAACACCTCTAAACCCCCCTCAGAACGTTGCTACAAGTGCAAGTAGACACTTCGTATAGCATGCACTGCAGACTTTAGCGCGAGGTGGGGTGCATGATCCAGACAAACGAATAATAGGAATAATAGGCAAAGAGATAGATGATTTCCTTAGACGATAGAAGCTATAATGTCGATAATTGGGCACGGAAAACCGCCACAAACCCGCAAAACACGTCTACGACCCCTCCTGCGCCTTTTCCACGCTCCTCAGCAACTTTTGTCCCCTCCGTGATTTCCCCGAGCCTTAACCCTCAGACCTACCTCGTGACTCACCCTCCAAGCACGTCCAACGTTTCTGCGTGTCGGCGTGTGTGCGGCTTTTCTTGTAGAATTGGTTTCGTCGAAAAAAAAAGTTGCATTTTTCGCCCATTTTTCCCAGCGCGAAAAATTGCCGTGACGAAAAGCCGACACGTTATGCAGCTTCCCCGGAGTCTACGCACCTCGACTTTTGCAATTAGTGCCGCACACACAAAGCTGGCAGGAACTCTATTTGCAACCTCCTCCAACTATATAAGCGTCGCACGATCCGGCTCTTCCTCCCCAACCACACTTTCCACCATGCTGACCCGAATCTCCCGACTCGCTCCCGCCGCCCGGGGCTTTGCTACTTCCTCCGTTTCCCGATCCACAGCCGCCATGGACTGGCAGGACCCCTTCCAGCTGGACTCTCTGCTCACTGAAGACGAGATTGCAGTCGCAGAGGCTGCTCGAGACTTCTGCCAGACCGAGCTGTACCCCAAGGTGCTGGAGGGCTACCGCACCGAGGAGTTCCCCCGCAGCATCATGAAGCAGATGGGCGAGGTTGGTCTGCTGGGCACGACCGTCAAGAGCCACGGCTGCCCCGGCATGTCCTCTGTGGCCTACGGTCTGGTCGCTCGAGAGGTCGAGCGTGTCGACTCCGGCTACCGGTCCGCCATGTCCGTGCAGTCGTCGCTGGTGATGCACCCCATCGAGCAGTTTGGCTCGCAGGAGCAGAAGGACCGGTTTTTGCCCAAGCTCGCTTCCGGCGAGATGATCGGCTGCTTCGGCCTCACTGAGCCCAACCACGGCTCGGATCCCGGCTCCATGGAGACCGTCGCCAAGATGCACCCCACCAAGAAGGGCGTCATTGTGCTGAACGGCGCCAAGAACTGGATCACCAACTCGCCCATCGCAGACCTCATGGTGGTCTGGGCCAAGCTCGACGGCAAGATCCGGGGCTTCCTCGTGGAGCGAGACCAGGTCGCGTCTGGCCTGGCTACCCCCGCCATCAAGAACAAGACCGCGCTGCGAGCCTCCATCACGGGCATGATCCAGATGGACGACGTGGAGATCCCCGTGGAGAACATGTTCCCCGAGGTGACCGGCCTCAAGGGCCCCTTCACGTGCCTCAACTCGGCGCGGTACGGCATTGCCTGGGGCACCATGGGCGCTCTTTCCGAGTCCATCAAGCTTGCGCGAGAGTACTCTCTGGATCGAAAGCAGTTCAAGGGCCAGCCCCTGGCCAAGTACCAGCTGATCCAGAAGAAGCTGGCGGATGCTCTGACCGACGCTACGTACGGCCAGGTCGCAGCCATCCAGGTTGGTCGACTCAAGGACGCCGGAAACTGCCCTCCCGAGCTCATCTCCATGATCAAGCGACAGAACTGCGACCGAGCCCTCGCTGGCTCGCGATCGCTGATGGAGATCTTTGGCGGCAACGCGGCGTCCGACGAGTACCACATTGGCCGAATCGCCGCCAACCTGTGGGTCGTCCAGACCTACGAGGGCCAGTCCGACATCCACGCTCTGATTCTCGGACGAGCCATGACCGGAGTCCAGGCTTTTGCTTAGACGGGTGAGAAGAAAATGCATATAATTATAACGACGTTTATGGGATACGGGAGCGAAGGCCGCAGGTCTGAGCGGACAACAACAGGGTGTGTTTGTAGTGTAGTAGAGAAGGCTGTGCTGGTGGGTCGTAGAGCTGAGGAGATGAGTGTATAGCAAGGCTTCCTCAATTGATGTATTCACGAGTATAACGATGTTTATGGGATAAGTTGCAACGGTAGCGAAGGCCGCAGTCTGAGCGGACTGTACTTGTAGTGAACACTGTTCTTGTACAAGTAGTTGTAGTAGAGAAGACTGTGCTTGTAGTAAGGTACTCCGTAGCATGTACGGAGTAAGGTAGAGGGGATATGTGTTTAGCAACGTACTCCCTCAATTGATGTATTCACGAGAAAAGAGTTGAAACGATACTTGTCGTACTGGTACTGTACTGTGCTGAACTTGTACATACTCATATGTACCTGGTACTTTATGCTGATCTTGTACTTTATGCTGAACTGCTACTATATGCTGAACAGCTACTTAATGCTGAACTGCTACTTTATGCTGAACTGCTACTATATGCTGAACTGCCCACGAGCAAGAGTTGAAACGATAGCTATTACTTGTAGTAATTACTGGTACTTTACAGAACTTCTACATAC